AGCCCCTAAACCCCAAACCATTAACCCTAAACCCCAAAACCTAAACCCCAAACCCTAAACCGTAAACCCCAAAACCTAAGCCCTAAACCCTAACTAAACAAGTCCTAAGCTTGGGTCGACATTTGGGGCTCGGTTCCTCTTGGTGTGACTCTGCACGAAGATCATGCGGGCTGTCCGGATTGCTGGTGGCTAGCTTGCCTTCTAGGTCATGGTGCTCCTTCTCGTCATTATACTATAGTCTAGGATGCCCAGTAGTACCCTTATTCGCTTTTTGTAGTCCTAGGTTCCTTATAAAGTTACCCAATACCAAAAAGAGAGGCCTTTTTATTCTTAGGTTACTGGGTATCCTAGTAGTAGAAGCCAGAAAGTTGGGACATCCTTAGCCTCATGTCCATAAAGTGAAGTTTCGGGAATCCCAGCATGAATCATCCGAAATCTACGTTCAAACTTTCTGGGGTTCACTATATGTATATTCTACCCCCCCCCCCCCAAGCCCTATTCTCAATATTGAGGCCCCAGTATTCAACCCTGATAGTGTTCCTTATAGACCTCTTCAGAAAGAATCCTGCAAAGGAGCCTCATTCCGTTCAGGAAGGCCTCCTATGTTGGGCTCCATAGACAACCCTTCGGACGACGGAGTGGTCGTGGCTTGAATTTCATTGTGACTACTGGGGTTGAAACCGTGAGGTTTAGGGTGCCCTCAGGGTTCTACAAAAGGATTCTAGAAGGGGTTTCCAGGGTTCTATAAGGGTTGTCTAAGAGTTTACGGTTTAGGCTCTAGGGTTGCGGGCCTAGGGTTTATCCCGTTGTTTGGGGGTATCTTGTTTCACCAAATCCTGGTCCACCGGGGTCGCTGCGGGGTTCATTTTCCCAAACCCTAACCCCCGAAAGCCCAAACTCCGAAGCTCCTAAACCCTGAACCCCTATATAGCCCCTAAACCGCTAAACCCTAAACCCTAAACCCTAGCCGAAAAAATTGAACCCTTCGCAGGTCCTGCACCAAGGAGGCAAAGACTTCGGGTGCTGACGCCCGCGCAGAGCCCCATGTGCGTTGGGCAGCGCGGCCTCTGTTGGCACGGGGCTCCAACTGAGCCGGCAGGGTGATCTAATGTACATATATATATATATATAATACATACATACATACATATATATATATATATATATATATTGTATGTATAATATATATATATATATATATATATATATATATATATATATATATATATTATATATATCAAAAATAATATAATATAATATATACTACAATATCATATAGTATAGTATCGTACAATATAGTATAAATATAAGTAGATATATATGTATATTGTATATATGTGTATATATTCATATAATACTATGAGATAGTGTAATATAGTATAATATCATAAAGTTTATATATGTATATATATATATATATTATACATATGGTATGTCATGGTATCTGCTCACAGTCCCCATATAAGTATGCCATAAGAAACGTGTTTCGGTTCGCGCCTTCCGTGGAACCGGCCATTGATCTGACGACTTCCCATGTTCCAAGGGTAAAAGGAGGGACCCTTAATAAGGACCCCTAGGTATAGAACCTTAATGTACCCAGTATATAGCCCATTATAGGGTAGGGGTCCCCGTTAAGGGTCCCTCCTTTTCCCCTTAAGCAGCTGGCCCCAAAGGATCCCAGGAGTCCTACTTGGAGGTTCATGGGTAGTTATAAGTAGGGCTCCTTTAAGGGTCCCTTTAAAGGGATCTATAGGGATTCTATAAGGGTATAGGGTTTAATGACCTAGTTGGAGGTTCATGGGTAGTTATAAGTAGGGTGATAAGTAGGGTAGCTATACTTATAACTCATATTAGGGTACTTATAGCTATGCTTATAAGTACTCCTGAACCGCCCAAGTAGGTGTCGGCGATTTCAGAAACCTGCTCCTTCGTGCAAACCCTACTTGTCATGCCTTTGGGCATACTACACTAAACCTGAAGCTGCACCACACAAGAACACTCTTGTTCTGTAAGTTTACGAGGCAAGAGATTGCTTACCTCTGGCTCGTGAGCTTGTTGCAGTCAAAGACACTGTCGCAAGCCAGCTCCTCTCTGCCTTCACCAGGTGCACATATGGGCAGTTCTCTAAATTAGAGTCAGGTCCCCCACCCGTATAAACAAGACTCTAAAAAGGTGACCCTCGCATAGAAAACTACCCATGTATTACAGTACATCCTACGACCCTACGCCGCCAACCGACGCTTGAAGCCCCAACTTGACAAAGCGCAAATACTTCAAGCGTAGTCGGTTGCCCCTTTGAAAGTCAAGGATAAAGCCCTGAATATGCCACAGGCGCCCTTGCTTACTCCTTCATAAACCACGCAGAGGCAAACCCTATACTCGACGCCCCGCCTGCTGCTGTGGAGTTGCGAGGGTCAAAAGACCCTTGCATAGATCCCCTAAGCCCCGTATGAGGCCGAAGGCCTAAACTCTGCAAACGGTTAAACCTTAAACACCCTGCTAAGCCCCTAAACCCCCAAAGCATACGTAAGCCCCTCAAACCCCTTGAACCCCGAACGCGCAAGGAGGAGACCTATTTAGAGGCCCAGGCGACTTAGTAAGTAAGTTACAAGTAGAGTTATAAGTACCCTAATGGAGCTACTCCAACTATGAGCCTACTTATATCCGACTTACTAAGTCCCTGGGCCTCCAAGAAACCCTAGAACCCCCTTTTATAGAACCCTGATAGATCCCCTTCAAAGAGCCTTCTAAGGAATCTTAGTTACTAACTCCCCCAATCCCTAAACCCTGAACCTTTAACCGGTAAGTCCTTACTCCAAACCCAGCAGAAAGGAGATCTATACGGTTGATGATACAAATCCTGTTGTACCCAGCACTTCTCATAGTCTAGGGTTCTTAAGGAAATGCAGGATTTATATCATCAACCCTAAACCCCTAAACCCTAAACCCAAAACCCCTAAACTCTAGACCCTAAACCTCTAAACCCTAATCCCTAAACCCTCATTAGCCGAGAAGGGGACGAGTCCAAGACTTCCCCGGCGTCTCACCAGGCCTCCGAGGATTGCTGCGCCAGAGACTTCAATAAGACAGCAGTCCCCTTGTTTGGGGGAGGTACAAGGGTTTAGGGTTTAGGGAGTTAGAAGGGTTTCAGGATTTTAAGGGTTATGTGATTTGAGGGTCTTCGGGCATAGACTAGCAATATGAATGTTGTAATTTGTTTATACGTAAAGCATCCATCCGTCCGATCCGTTTGTTTATTCATCCCGCCATGCATGTAGATGCAATATATGGCCATACCCAACACGTCTTGTAAGGTCAACCAACGATGGGGCTTAGGCTGCATAGTGGACATACGCACATTCCTGTATGGGTAGTTCTCTAAATTAGGCTCCCTTTTGATGTCCCAAAAATAGTACGGCACCCTATAGTACGGCACCCGTACAAAAAAGGACCTTAAAAGGGACCCTAATTTAGAGAACTGCCCACATGCATACGGCCATCCATACATCGTCGATACATAGGATACATGCTTGGGTCAAGACTCATGACACAAGTAAGCGCAGAGATGCATTCGGGTTTAGTGTTTAGGTGTTTAGGGTTCAGGGTTTAGGGTTTAGTTTAGGGTTTAGGGTGAATACGCAATAGCTTGGGGAGCTTGATCAATCAGTACCTGAGCCCTACGTTTCTCGTGCTCTTATGAGAGCATGGGGGTCGTAAGTTGAGGATCCTTCTAAATGCCCGATTTCGCAAAGTGGATCTATCTTGGGCATAGGCCCTAGGCTTGACTTACAGGTGCACAAACGACTGGGTTTTCGTTCAGGGGAAATGAAGGGGTGCGTGTTTGGGCTGCCCAGCTGGTGAGCTGCGCACATCCATGTTGTTGTGGTGTCTCAGGTAAGCCTGTGCTTGGTAGGGTCAAGAGTTTCCAAGGAAGCTACACAAGCAAGATATCTTATTTAGGGAGCAGACGCCTCGCTCCGGAAGACATGGAGACCTGTTCGCCACGGCACTCGGAGTTGTTGCGTAGAACCAGCATGGAAAAACCGAGCCTTTTCCCGCTGTGGTTGTGGTTGACGACTATGAAGCTAGGTATCTTTAGGAATTCACTAAGAGGGTTCATTCGGCTGCCTCAGAAGAATCTGTGGGTGCTTTGGGCCTCGCCGAGAACGAAGACCCCAGCTGCTCGAAAGTCTTCAGTGAGAAACATATGTATAGAGAAGAACGAAAACCCCCGGAGCATCAGCAAGCCTCCTCAGCCTTGGAAAGGGAATGTCGTCAAGACTGAGCACCGTATGCCATATTATGTTCAGTTGAGTGTAGAGTGAGCCAAGCATTTACTCCAGGAGCCAAGTTATTTACCATGAGTATGCAAAGCCCATCGCAAGAATTGTTGGTGTCTCAGAAAAAGAAGGCTTCATAGACCCAACCCTAAACCCTAAACCCTAAACCCTGACTATTATCAGCAACAGCAACCCCGAGTTGAGCTATAATGCACCCCGCAGAGCCGTCTTCTATTTGTAAACGCTCCGCGTCGTCCGCGTTGGCCCGGCCGCAAGTGAAGACGGCCGACAAGTTCAACCCCGAAGCCGTCGCCGATACAACCGACCTACACAAAGCAAGACCACGCAAAAGAGGCGGGGTAAAGAGATGGGGGCGGAGGTGGGGGGGAGTGGTGGGGGAAGGAAGGGGAGGAAGGGGAGGAGGGGAGGGAGGGTGGAGAGGGAGTGGAAATTCCGCTACGAGTCCAGCTGATTCGGATTGTGCGTGTCGAGGTGTCTAGTTTACGCTTAGCCCACAAACATAAAAGCGCTTGCTGCGGAAAGCTTATGCAACTTAACCAGCTAAGAAACATCAGAACCCCACAATGACCTGGAGCACCACAACAACAACCCGAGGCCCGCATCACATCCTAAATCCTTATCACTCATCCCCAAACCTTAAATCATAAGCTCCCAACGGTGTACCGATCTTTCTGGATGCTGCCTACACCATCAACCCAGGTTCAATGGTCAGAACGTCAAGAACTCCAGTGCTCCTGGATTTGCAGGGCTCTCCTTTTGAACGGCGGTGCTTGCAAGTAAGGTAAGCTGTAGTGATGCAGAGCTGGTCCACAAATACATAGAGACAGACAGAGACCGACTAAGACAGACAAAGACAGACAGGCATACGTGGTATTGTACCTACATACCTGCATGCTGTATGCATGCATAAATGCATAAACGGACCGACAAAGATATACAGTGAGTGCACACATACGTACATGCATGCACGCATGCATGTGCGCATGCATATACGCATGCCATGGGTACATACGTACATACCTACATACATATGTACATAGCTGCACAGAGAATTTGTATGTCCATGTATGTAATTTGTTGTAGGGTCGCGCGCAATACAAAGCAAAATAATTGACTCACGAGGTCAGTTAAAGTGTATCTATCTACATGCGCATACATATGTATATATATATATATACACATACTTGTATAAGCATTCTTGTCCAAAGCTATACGCATGAGTTTGGTTCGGAGGAACTTCAGCAGAAAGGTTTGCGAAGACGGGAAATGCATATCAGAAAGCTGATGAGGAAAGGTGCGGTCCTTATTGATCTAAGACTGTGGGTACTGTTCCTTTGGGAGGTAGTCCAGGTTCTTGGCCCAATACAGCCCAACGGATGACTCTGAGAGGTTATGCTTTCGGGAGACCCAAACAATGCCCTGTCACGTCATGTGGAAGATAACCCTAGCACCAGAAGCCGTGGCCCAAAACTCCGTGAGGTCAAGCGGAAGATAGCCATCAACCCGAGACACCAGACCGTGCAACCCTAAACCCGAAACCCTATGGCCCAAGACCCCAGTATCAGGTCATGTGGAAGATTCCCCTAAAACCCTAAGCCCTAGCTACCCTAAACCTTAAACGGAACCGACAAATATCAGGTCATGTGGAAGATTCCCCACTTGATGCTGCAAGACGGCCAGCCTGACAAGCCCTTCTTCTTCTCCTGGGCCAACAGGCGAGTGAGGCTTAGGGTTGAAAAGTTTAAGGTTAGAATCGGATTGAATCGATAATTCAGGGGCATTGGAGTTTCTGCGTAATTACAAGGTTACATGAGGATTGCTTTCATGATCTCTGCAAGGGTCAGGATAAGGGGTCGCGATAACGGGCTTTATGAGGGATACTGCAAGGGTTACTCTACGGATCACCATAAGGGTGCTGTAGGCTTTATGATAGGGTTCCCGTGAAGGGTACTCAATGGTTTCTTTTAAGGGGTTACTATCGGGGTTCTAAAAGGGTTCTGCTGCTCTGCTTCTCCTGTGCCAAGCGGCCCTTCCGACCTCTCCCGACAGGGCATGCGGGTTTAGAGTTTAGGGTTCACACATTGATGCAAACATGAAGATATGTGTGCATGAAAGTCTGTAGGTAAGTAGATAAGAAAGGAAAGAAGGCAGTAAGTATGTAAACCGATGCAGAAGTAAGCACGGAAGTACAGTAAGGAAGGACGTACGCACGTACGAGTAAGTAAATGTGTAAGCACGTAAGCAGGCAAGTAAGCATGAAAGTGGGTTGGGTAGGTATCTACGTATGTGTGTGTGTGTGTCTAGGTGTGTATGTATGCACGCATGTATGTATGTGTGTATGCATGTATGTACGTATGTATGCGTATACATCCAAGCATGCCAATAGGCATACATGTCCAGTTCAAAACTCATTGTATTGGGTTAGCAACGCCGTGCATGTAGCGTCATTTAGAGACCAAACAAACACCAATACAAGCGTATGTCGACAGATCAAACATGAAGCAGCCAGCTCGATCTCACTCTCGCCCACGGCGGGTGATCCTGACTCTGCCTGTGACTCTGACTCTGACTCTGTACAAAAGCATGTATGCAGAAGTGGTACATGCGAATGGACTTTCTGCAACTGCGCACATGTATGCATGTATGCAATTAGGTAGGTAGGTATGTGTGTATGTGCATAGTTACATACATACAATACACTATGTACGATGTGCTTTGTACCATGTACTATATACTGTACTCTACCATACATGCGCACATACCTATATGTATAGTTCAGATGTGTAGAGATGCATGCGCCCGGATAGATGTAGACAGAGCATGTATACATGCATGCATGCATGCATGGATACATGCGCATGCGGCAGCACACACACACACACACACACACACACACACACGCATGCACAGCCCGCACGCACCCCGCAAACGCACACCCACACGTACCCACGTGCGAGCGCACATGCAAACGCGTGCGCAGGAACGTGAACGCAAAGGCGCTCGTGCTCGCATTCTGTCATCGGCCTAGAGTGTGAAGCCTCATTCCGGAAGGGATTTCATTAATCCAAGAGTCTATTTTCCTGTCTGAACTTCCTTCCATCGGAAAGCAGCATGCGTCTCTTTGGGTGAAGGCGTTGGGAACGTGGCTATGGCGAGCACGCCACCGGAGAGGTTTTGATCGAACAGGCATGCAGCGGGTGTGGGGTCGGGGTGACTGGTATTACTGTTACTATTGCTTTTTTTTCCTTTTATTCTTTTTTCTGTAACTATTACTATTGATTACTATTACAGCCTTTGTTGTTATTTTTTCTATTACTATTGCTATTACTATCACTATTCCTACCAATATTACCACTACGATTACTATTACAATTGTCTATTACAATTACTATTACAAGTACGATTACTATTACTGTTACTATTATGCTATTGCTATTACTATTCCAATTACCTATCATCTATCATATTATCTGCTATCATTACGATAATATTACTGTGAGGTGGGGGCTTGCTGGGGTTTTCGCTCTACGGCTTACGTTTTCGGTTCGGTGTTCTCGCAGAGGAGCTTTAACGTTGAAGCCCCAAAATATTTCCAATCAAAGTAAGGTTGATGGCAGTAAGTTTTCGCAAACCGAAAATTCTCAATTCCGATACTCCCAGCCCGCTAGATATTCGTCGTACTGCAAGACTTTGAAAAAGCCCACTTGGTCACTAGCTCCGTCAGACTCAGCGCGTCAGATTTCGGGTCAGGGATGTCAGCGGACTTAGCGGTCACACACTCTATGGATTGAATAGCTTTCTGCGCCTGTGGATGCGTGCGTCCATGGTCATTCAGCCTTGTGTCGAAGGTTGAGGCTTCATCGTTTGGGTAATCAGCTCTCTAAATGAGGGATTTCAGGTCCCAAGAATTAATACGGCACCGTTATGAAACGGACCCTAAAAGGAAGCCCAATCTGGGGAACTACTCATTTGGAGCGTTAGGGGTTCAGGGTTTGCTCAGCCAAGATTGGTGGTGCGCTGTGCGTGTCGGGATTTCCATTTTCTGGATTCAGGGGCAGGGCCTTGTAATCCCGAACCCCAGAATCAGTGAGAGTCGCAGAGGCTACGCCAACCAGAATGACTCCAGACGACGAGACTTATGGTAGATTCCCTATTATGGGTAATGCAAGTTTTTATATCATCAACCCTAAACCCTAAACCGTTTAAACCCTTATAGATCCCATTGAAAGGAACCCCTATAGCTCCCTTTTAACGCAACCGAAGGACTATGCCAATGAGACGGGCTGGACGGAGCACTTCAACTACCTCCTGCCCTACTTCCAGCATCGAACCTTTGGCCGCCCCAGATCTCGAAATGGGAGTTTCCCAAAATTAGGGGTACCTTAGGGTTCCTATAAAGGGTTGCTATAAGGGTACTATAAGGGTTCCTTTAGGGCTCTATAAGGGGTTTGAGTTTCCGAAAATTAGGGGTACCTTTTTTTTGGGTCCCTTTAATAAGGATCCTACAATTTATGGTACTAAATGAAGGGTCCCTAGTTTTCGGAAACTCCCAAATGTGAGGCTCAACCACTGCGAGAAAGCCCAGCGAAAGATCTCAAAGTCGCTCGAAGAACTCCAGGCTGCAGGGTGCTCACCCCTAAACCCTTTAAATCCTTAACCTTAAACCCTTTAAATCCTAAACCTTAAACCCTTTAAATCCTAAACCTTAAACCCTTTAAATCCTAAACCTTAGACCCTTTAAATCCTAAACCTTAACCCTTTAAATCCTAAACCTTAAACGCTTTAAATCCTAAACCCTAAGCCTTATAAACCCTAAACTCTCACTCTGAGCCCCCCCTGACTCGCCATCGCACCTCTACAAAGACTCGGATGTCCAGAAGTATCCTTGTTCCCTTTGTGTAGTCCCAGGTTCCTTCTAAAGTTACCCGATACCAAAGAGGGAGCCCTTTTTATTCCTAGGTTACTGGGCATCCTAGTTTTGGGTTCCATGGATGTACGTCTACTGCTCTGGAACTTTTTTGGGTCGCTTGGGTCTGGACCTTTTGGATGAAGCTGCTGAGAGCTTGAGGGCCCCAGGCTTTAGGTGCGGTTTAGCGGGTTTAGGGTTTAGGGTTTAGGGTTTAGGGTTTAGGGTTTAGGGTTTAGGGTTTAGGGTTTAGGGTAGCGAGCCGAAGTTTGAAGGGCCCCAAACCTTTCAGAGACTTCCGAGCCTCGACCTCGGACCAAAAGAAGCAAAAAAATTGCCGAGATCCACCAACTTGGCTTCTGCTCGTTTTGGGCTAGGGTTAGGATTTAGGGTTTAGGGTTTAGAGCTTGGGGTTTTGGGTTGAGAGTTTAAGGTTTAGAGTTTAGGGTCTATTGTTCAGGGTTGGGTTCTGACTCGAGTTTTGAACCGTGAGATTGCGAAGACTCCGATCCTTCATCTCCGGTGTTTCTGCTTTGTACAGTAAGTTGGGAGGTGGCAGGTTCGGGCGGGGAAGGTTTGGGCCTAGGCTTATGGGTTGCGGATCTAAGAGCCCAGCGTTCAGGTTGATCAGCAGCGTGCCAGCCCCGAAGTTCTACACCCTAAACTCTGCCCATAGTCTCCATTTTGTTTCCTTTCTTGTTGAACCTATTTCATATTTCGGACCCTAAACAAGGCAGTGCAATGCAGACCAAAGGTAAACTCCAAACCGTGAACTTGGAGGGCTGTCATTGGGGGCCGGGGGGGCGGCACATTGTTTGGTCTATTTGGGAACGAATGCAGGCGGGGGTACAGAGAACCGTCGCCTCAACTAAAAACAATCCCAAACCCATAAACCCGCAACCCTAAACCCTGAACCCTAACCCTGAACCCAGCAGTGAAGTAGTTTACGCTCTAACCTGAGCAAGCTTTTGTCTCTGCTGCTGTGGAGACAGCGGCTAGTGCACTTAAAAGAACTTGAACCCTCAACCCTAAACCCTAAACCAAGGGAACTATAAGAAGATCAACAACAAGCCGGTCTTTGCAATCTACTTCCCTCAGGACAAGAAGGGGGGGCACTTGGGAGGGACCTGGGGGAGTTTTGGAACTCAGCGCAGCAGGATCGTCAACTCACGATGTCTTCTTACAACAGTCGCAAAAGTTGGGTTTAGGGTTTAGGGTGTCTGTCCAGTGATAGTGTAAGAATTCAACAGTTGTAAAAGTTGTAGTATTGACAGGATTAAGAATAGCGCAGTGATAGTGGTAAGAATGACAATGTGAGGATAGCAATCAACAGTGACAGTAGTCACCAGCGTGCACAGTTAAGATACTAACCTCAAGACTGTTCGTAATAATGATCAGTATCATCGCCACCGTAAGACTATAAAGGGAACTCCAGAAAGTTGGAATATGGTTTCATGGTAGGATACCCAATAATTTACCATAGAAGGGCTTAGGATAATCATATTCCAACTTTCTGGCTTTTACCTGTATGGCCGTATCAGCCAACGCTGGAACAAAGATAGCAGCCCAGAGCGCTGGCCAGAGATCCGCCTCGGTGTAAGGGACCCGGTGGCACAGCCCCAGAGAGCCCAAGGGGCCCCTTAATTAAGGAATACCTAGGGTTCCTTAAAGGGCTCCTTAAAGGGATCTATAGGGGGTTCTATAAGGGAATTAAGGAATATGGCTTAAATTATTTAGGTCTTCATATTATGATTTAAGCCATATTCCTTAATTACGGGGTATTGGGCTCTCTGGGGCATGGATCTCGTGTTTGTCATTCTCCGGGCACGATCAGCTTGATACCTCGAGTATGGTGACCCAACTTTACGACCTAAACCCCAAACCCTAAACCCCAACCCCCTAAACCCTAAACCGATGTACTCCAGAGCAACCTTCAAGTCCCCGTGAACAGCGGAGCCTGGACACTTGCCCGCATACCTTCTTCATAGACATGCCAGCAGCCTGTCGTAGCTTTTTTCCGACTGACATCATGTTTTTCCAAGCGCCACTAACCGTTACAATAACTGCTCGAAATGTGACCCTAAACCCCCAGGCCTGACTTTACCCCCGTGTTGAGGGCATATAGAAAGATTCGTGGAATAATAGAAAGACTCCATATGGAGCCCCCGCAGAAGCCTTGTACATACTACCGAGGTTCGGGGCGAGGTTGAAGCTTTCGATACCCCAACCCTAAACCCCAAACCCTCAACCCTGCACGCTGAACCCTAAACCCTAGACCAAAATCCTAAACCCCAAACCCTCAACCCTGCAGGAGATCGGAGAAAAGCTTGCACCGATGATGAACAACTGGCACCTGCTCGCCAAGCAGACGCTCCGCAAAGCGAGGGCTTCAAGGTTCAGCCGCGATTTGGGGGTTCGCGAAAATAGGGGACCCTAATATAGAACCCTAAATAGTACGATCCTTATTGTAAGGACCCCAGAAAAGGTACCCCTAGTCTTCGGAAACTCCCATTTAGATAGGGAGGTAGGACCCAGGCAAAACTCGAAACCCACCAGCTCTGAACCCTTAACGCGACACTCGAACACCCTGAGCCCTTGAGTCCTAACCTTGATGGGCTTTCAGAAGTGCCGAAAAGGAACAGTTCCCAAACCGATGGACCTTTGGAGCCTTTGTTTGGTAAGGACCAAAGGGCAACGACTCTCCACGCTGGAGTTAGTCACTATAGCCTAGGCTTACAAACCTGAGCACCGCACTCCCAACTCCTTGAGCGGCGTCCTAAAACCTACACCCTAAAATCCGAAGCCCACACCTTAAACCCTAAGTCTTAAAACCCTAAACCCTGAGCCTCAACCCAAACCCTACACCCTAAACTAACCCCTGCCTTGGTGTTTGTGACTGGGTAGCGATAGCATGCATCAAAAAGGAGCTTTAAACAAAACAACTAACCCCTAAACCCTAAACCCTACACCCCGGAACCTTAGGCTCCGCACCGAACACTCACGGCCTCGACCCCGAGCTAGAGTTTAGGGTTTGGGGTTTAGGGTTTAGGGTTCAGAGTCAGGGTTTAGGGTTTACTTGGACCCCAAATTACCTACACTCTTAGGGTTCCTCAATATGACTTCTTTGTATAAGTCCTTAAAAGGGTAGGTTGTTTGGTGTTTGGGGAGGGATAGCTGAGGAATGGCTTTGGCGGCATCTACTTCCTGCGCACCGTCAGCGGCGCCTGGGTGCAGTCCAGGGTTTAACATAGGTGCCTTGACAATTAGAATATAGGCTTCCTTTAAAGGGTTCCTTTTAGGGTTACTATAAGGGTACTATAAGGGTGCAGTATAGGGGCTTAAATAGGACCCCCCAGGCGCCCTTTAATAGGGTTCTCATGGCCCTTAATTAATAGGTATTTGGGGTACATTAGAGGGCAGTTGGGGGTTCTAATATAGGGCTCCTTGTTATAGTTACAGTATAATATACCCCAAAACACTAATTATTCTGGAAGTTCTTTCAGGGTTATCTAGAACGGCGCATAATTTAAGGGTTTACGGGCTTGCAGGGTTTTAAGATGTACGGACGTCAGTGAACATGGTCCCGTCGTCTCATCATGATCACCATCCAGCATCCCGGACAACGGTCATTATCGCAATGCTGAGTATCGCAATGTAAAAACATGAAAAACCGATGGTGGTGTAGCCGGCAAAGATACAGACAAGCACACGACCACTGCAAAAGGCAGTAAGAATAGCACCCACAGTAGTCAGGGTAGTCTGGCATTCCATGGATTTGGCGATTCTGCTCAAGTTTGAGCTTTTTCGACAGCTGCGCAAGGCACGAATGTGCGGCGTCGCCGATATCCTCTAGCACCAGGAAACTGCATGCTTTTCCATAGCTGATCCGAGTCAGTTGGATTGATAAACGGACGACAGGGCGGCTGGACTTCCGAAGTACCCACGACTGAAAACATAATCTCTAAATCCAAGACTGCGAGCGCTAGCCCCGAAACCCTGAACCCTTACAGACCCCGTATTATATTGCTTTTGTAGAAGCCTTGTAGTATCCTTATAGAACCAGAAACCCTAATCCCTGTATCAGACTGGCGTTTACAGAAATTTCGTAGTAAGCAAGCAGAACCCTAAACCGTAAACCCTGAACCCTTGTTAGAACCTGAACCTTACTTGGAGGCCCAGGGGACTTAGTAAGTAGGTTGTAAGCAGGGTTATAATTGGGGCAACTCTAATTAGGGTACTTATAACCCTACATATAATCTACTTACTACGTCCCCTGGGCCTCTAAGTAACCCTCTTGTCGAAGCCTTATAGATCCCTTTTAAAGGAGCCCTTTCAGGAACCTTACTACTTGCTATGTCCCCTGAACCTCGAAGTAGACCCTAAACCTGAAACCCCATAGATCCCTTTAAGGAACCCTATAGATCCCTATAAGGAGCCCTTCAAGAACCTTTACTAAGTCCCCTGGCCCTCTTAGTAATTAAGCTATGATGCCTAAACCTGTCCCAGGTGCAGGCGGGCCGAGCTTCATGCCAAGTCTCTTTGACGTCCCCGGGACCTGAGTTAGGGCTTTGGGGGTTTAGGATTTAAGGGTTTTGGGGTTTAGCACTTGAGGGGTTTGGCGTCTAGCATTTAGGGATTTGGGGCTTATGATTTATATAAGGGTTTGCGGTTTAGCTTTAGGGGTTTGGGGTTAGGATTTTGGGGTTTAGGGTTTGGGGTTTAGAATTTAAGGGATTTGGGGTTTAGCATTCAGGGATTTGGGGTTTAGTGTTTAGGGTTTGCCGCACGTCGCGTTCTCTATTGCAAGCCGCTTGGGCATGTGTGTTTGAGTCCTTGTTTCGGCCTCGGATTATGCTAGCGAGCATCGAAACTGGAGTCGTATTGTTGATATATTCGGCGGCTAAGAACACCGCAGGTGGTGGGAAACCCGATGCTCCAACTGCTACCCCGGAGCCCGTAAAGCTCCAACCCTTCTACAACGCTTGCCCCCTATGGAACCTTTACAGACCCCGAACCCATTCGGTTTTGGGGTTTCCGAAAATGGGCCTAATACACTACCCTAAATAGTAGGACCCTTTTTGTAAGGACCCCAAAATAAGGTACCCCGAATTTGCGGAAACTTTAAACTCTAAACCCTTTATAGAAGCCTTATAGATCCCTTCAGGGAACCCTTATGGATCCCTTTAAAGGTACCCCTGATTTTCGGAAACTACCATATCAGCCCTTTGCAGAACCCTAAACCCCTAAACCCTCAACCCTAAACCCTAAACCCCTAAACCCTAATCCCTAAACCCTAAACCCCTAAACCCTAATCCCTAAACCCTAATCCCTAAACCCTAAACCCCTAAACCCTAATCCCTAAACCCTAATCCCTAAACCCTAAACCCCTAAACCCTAATCCCTAAACCCTAATCCCTATCAAAACTCGTGGCTCTTGATCAAAACTCGTGGCTCTTGATCAAAACTCGTGGCTCTTGATCAAAACTCGTGGCTCTTGATCAAAACTCGTGGCTCTTGATCAAAACTCGTGGCTCTTGATCAAAACTCGTGGCTCTTGATCAAAACTCGTGGCTCTTGATCAAAACTCGTGGCTCTTGATCAAAACTCGTGGCGGTTGACGTCCCCCTAGGGTTTAGGGCCTAGGGTTTGGGCCCTAGGGTTTAGGGCCTAGGGTTTGGGCACTAGGGTTTAGGGCCTAGGGTTTGGGCCCTAGGGTTTAGGGCTGGGTTTGGCACTAGGGTTTAGGGCCTAGGGTTTGGGCACTAGGGTTTAGGGCTAGGGTTTGGGCACTAGGGTTTAGGGCCTAGGGTTTGGGCACTAGGGTTTAGGGCCTAGGGTTTGGCACTAGGGTTTAGGGCCTAGGGTTTGGGCACTAGGGTTTAGGGCCTAGGGCCTAGGGTTTAGGGCCTAGGGTTTGGCACTAGGGTTTAGGGCCTAGGGTTTGGGCACTAGGGTTTAGGGCCTAGGGCCTAGGGTTTAGGGCCTAGGGTTTGGCACTAGGGTTTAGGGCCTAGGGCCTAGGGTTTAGGGCTAGGGTTTGGGCACTAGGGTTTAGGGCCTAGGGTTTGGGCACTAGGGTTTAGGGCCTAGGGTTTGGCACTAGGGTTTAGGGCCTAGGGTTTAAGGGCCTAGGGTTTGGGCACTAGGGTGGGTTTAGGGCCTAGGGTTTGGCACTAGGGTTTAGGGCCTAGGGTTTGGGCACTAGGGTTTAGGGCCTGGGGCCTAGGGTTTAGGGCCTAGGGTTTGGCACTAGGGTTTAGGGCCTAGGGCCTAGGGTTTAGGGCTAGGGTTTGGGCACTAGGGTTTAGGGCCCTAGGGTTTGGGGGCCCTGAGCCCCAACTGTCCTGGGATTTTTGCCTTGGGAAGACCATGGGTCATCCGTCTCAGATAACTGTCCTGGGATTTTTGCCTTGGGAAGACTATGGGTCATCCGTCTCAGATAACTGTCCTGGGATTTTTGCCTTGGGAAGACTATGGGTCATCCGTCTCAGATAACTGTCCTGGGATTTTTGCCTTGGGAAGACTATGGGTCATCCGTCTCAGATAACTGTCCTGGGATTTTTGCCTTGGGAAGACTATGGGTCATCCGTCTCAGATAACTGTCCTGGGATTTTTGCCTTGGGAAGACTATGGGTCATCCGTCTCAGATAACTGTCCTGGGATTTTTGCCTTGGGAAGACTATGGGTCATCCGTCTCAGATAACTGTCCTGGGATTTTTGCCTTGGGAAGACTATGGGTCATCCGTCTCAGATAACTGTCCTGGGATTTTTGCCTTGGGAAGACTATGGGTCATCCGTCTCAGATAACTGTCCTGGGATTTTTGCCTTGGGAAGACTATGGGTCATTCGTCTCAGATAACTGTCCTGGGATTTTTGCCTTGGGAAGACTATGGGTCATCCGTCTCAGATAACTGTCCTGGGATTTTTGCCTTGGGAAGACTATGGGTCATCCGTCTCAGATAACTGTCCTGGGATTTTTGCCTTGGGAAGACCATGGGTCATCCGTCTCAGATAACTGTCCTGGGATTTTTGCCTTGGGAAGACTATGGGTCATCCGTCTCAGATAACTGTCCTGGGATTTTTGCCTTGGGAAGACTATGGGTCATCCGTCTCAGATAACTGTCCTGGGATTTTTGCCTTGGGAAGACTATGGGTCATCCGTCTCAGATAACTGTCCTGGGATTTTTGCCTTGGGAAGACCATGGGTCATCCGTCTCAGATAACTGTCCTGGGATTTTTGCCTTGGGAAGACTATGGGTCATCCGTCTCAGATAACTGTCCTGGGATTTTTGCCTGGGGAAGACTATGGGTCATCCGTCTCAGATAACTGTCCTGGGATTTTTGCCTTTGGAAGACTATGGGTCATCCGTCTCAAGGCAGCCTTCTTGATGAAGGGTTTCAGCTGAACGGTCATCGCAAAGAAACCTGATAGCTGTGGTTGCTATCGTAAAACGATGGCGTGACCGCAGCTTCAACTGTTGGAGGCAATGTTGTCAGGCAGTGGACACAGTCCGATGTGGAAACATTGAAAGACATGAAATCGAATTCGATAGCTGTTCTAGGTGAGGAGATTCAAGTCATGACACTTGACAGCTATGGTTGCTATCGTAAAGCGATGGCGTGACCGCAGCTTCCGCGGGTTAGGGCGATGTTGTGTTTCTTAACTAGCTCTCTTAGAAAGCTGGTCGGCAGAAATAATTTCTTAAAGTGAAGCGTGTGGCGAGAACGACTGTAAAGAAACAGCACCTGCTTGATCGAAAGAGTGAAAAGTTACGATCTGTAATAGTTGTATGTAAGTGATCTTTTAAAGATTCAAGCCAAAAGAAATAAAACTCTTAAATCTAATGTAATGGGATTCTGTGGGCGGGTGGGGTTTCTTCTAGAAGATAGCTTGACTAGAAATAGCCTGACATGAAATGTTCAAAGTCAGAGCTGCTGAACCCTCAACCCTAAACCCTAAACCCCTAAACCCTAATCCCTAAACCCTAAACCCCTAAACCCTAATCCCTAAACCCTAATCCCTAAACCCTAAACCCCTAAACCCTAATCCCTAAACCCTAATCCCTAAACCCTCAACCCTAAACCCTAAACCCCTAAACCCTAATCCCTAAACCCTAATCCCTAAACCCTCAACCCCTAGCCGAACCCTTGTTAGGGCCCTCCAAGGCCTCCTTCCATTTCATGGCTGTCTGCGAGCGTTGCGGTCGTCCCGCCTCCGGGGAAGACAAGGTGCGAGAGACTTGAGGGTTAAGGGTTTCAGGAACTTTAAGGGTTTTAGGGGCTTTAGGGGCTTTAGGGCTTTTAAGGGGATTTAGGGTTTAGGGTTTGGGGTTAGGGTTTCAGGTTTGGGGGTTTGGGGTTTAGGGTTTAGGGTTTGCGGTTTAGGGTTTTGGGTTTAGGGTTTGGGGTTTAGGGTTTGGGGTTTAGGGTTTGGGGTTTAGGGTTTTGGCGTCTTGGTGGGCTCTTTTGGATTGAGGGTCTGGTGTGTAAGGGCTCTAAACCCTAAACTGTAATGTGTTACATGGGAGTCTGAGAGATTCACAGTCCGAAAGCGATCAATAATCCTCATGCTGCAGGCCTGTTGCGACTGGCCTCACAGGGTTCTGCGTGGTTCTTTGGGGTTTTGGAGGCTTGCACAAGATTCCAAAGGACTCCAGCAGATTTTGAAGGGTCTCGAGCTAGCCAATGGGAAAGAAAGGATTCCTTGAAAGAGGACGAGAAATGAGAGTCGAAACTGCATCCTACATGCCCAGAGACTCCAATATCCCTTAATTAAGGAATACTCCTTAAATCATATTAAGGATCCTACTATAATTTAAGGTAGATTCCCAAATTAAGGGATATTGGAGTCTCTGGGTGGCTTCCGGCTTCCGAAGCGAAGCCCGAAAGTTCTTGGGGGTAGGGGTCAGACTTCGAAATGCCTAGAGGCATCGAACTTAAGCTCAGGCAAGTCGATAACTGCGGCTTCTGCAGTTTGGTTCGAAGGGAATCGAGGCCGAACCTAGGCTCAAGATAGGGCCCTTAATCAGCAGAATAGGACTCCTTGGAGGGTTTCGATGAGACTGCAAATTTGTTTTTTAGTTGAAGTCTTCAAGTTTTTGTTTTAAATGTAGGGGCCTCACTGGTTAGAGCAGTGGGCTTGAGGTTCGGGAGTTGAGACTACGAGGCCTAGAGTGAGGGAGATTTACGCTTGAGTGCCCAGACATCTTCAGGGCCTAGGGTTCATTTAGGGTTTTAGGGTTTAGGGCTTTAGGGTTTAGGGTTCAGGGCCTGGAGTGTAAAGCTTGGGGTGAATGTAGGAACCTGATTAGGGAATCCTGGTTCTCGATAGCGCCAAATATTAGCATCCATAATATAGAAATCCCGAATAAAGACCCAAGATTTCTCAACTCGGTTTCTATCTTAGGGTCTTGGAGGCTCAGGCTTTCGGGTTCTGGGTTTAGGGTTTAGGGTTTTAGGGGGTTTAGGGTTTAGGGTGTAGAGTTTTAGTTGTGGTTTGGGGTTGTCGAGTCTGTCTTGGAGGTTCCGGATCGGTGCAGGGCCCGACCTGAGTTTCACCACCAACCTTGCAAAAGCCCAAGCCCTCATAGAAGTTGTGTAAGATAGGGGCCAGACTAATGAGAATAGGGTTTGGTGCATTTTGTACTATAATCATAAGAAGGAACCCCCTCCGTCAAAAAGAAGCTGTTCTAATTATTCAGGCCCGTCTGATCGAATCCACATAGAACCTTTCCTGACAGGCCTTGAAGACCCCAAGCCAAGCTGCGTCCTTCCGGCGCTTAGGATCCCAATCCTGAGCCCTATGACCCCAAATCGAAAACCGTGGCCCCTGCCCTAAAACCCGAATCAAACATACCCTTTTACAGGCCTACCCCTGAAACCTTGGCCCTAATCCCAACTCCTCCTCCCGTCGCCCCCACGAAAACCTTCAACGACCTCTAAAATCCAACTTGAAAGAGCCCGCAGGATTTCATCACCACTTGGCCTCAGCATCTTGGCCTCTTCTGTGTGTCGAGTTCAGGGCAGTCAAAGATGGAGCTGAGCCAGAACCCCTGAAGCCAAACGTCCAACTTAGCACGATGCTTGGCAGAGAAAGTAGGACGGTCTAGACAAGAGGCGCAGAAGCCATGCGAAGAAGGGGATCATGCCTTCCTACACCCTAAAAAACATGCAAAGTCTAAGCCGCCAACCTCAAAGCCCGAAAGCCTCAAGCCTTATAGACCTTACTCCGTAAAGACTCATAACCCCCGAAGCTTTTTAACCCTAAACCCCCTAAGGCACTAAATCCCTAAACCTTGAGGTATTGGGGTGCCACCACTGGCTTCGACAACCGCGTGCGGGGCTGCTCTCAGCGCTACAGGGCCAGTCCCGAGGCAACCCAGCTCAGGGTTTTGGGTTTTAGTATAAGCCTTCTAGAACCTGCAAGTCCTAAACTCTCAAGCCCAATGACACCCTAAACCCAAATCCTAAACCCCAATTAAGCCCGAAACCCAAACCCTAAGCCCCAACCAAACATTAAACCCTAAACCCTGAAACCTTAAACCCTAAGTTAAACGCCCCAAAGCCCTAAACCCCAAACTCTCCTAAACCCTAAACCACAAAGCCCGAACACCAAGTTAAACGCCCCAAAGCCCTAAAGCCCTGCCCTCATCTCAGCGCTAGGGTCGTTACTTGGAGGATCATGGGACTTAGTAAGTAAGGTTATAAGTACCTTAACTGGGGTTATAAGTATAGTTACCCTAATTATAACCCTAATTACTAAGTCCCATGATCCTTTAAGTATAGACAGCCCCCCGCTGCAGGAGTTCAAAACCGGCCTCCTCGAGTCCTTCCGCCGCTTGGCTTCAGGGGTTTAGGGTTTAGGGTTTAGGGTTTAGGCTTGGAATTTCGAGTTTTGGGTTTGGGGTTGTTGGGTTCGGCGGTTTGGGGTTTTGGCGACAACGAGTTGCACAGGGTTCAGGCCTTCGACTTCGGGCTTTAGGGTTTCGTAGTGATTCAGCGGCTGCGGGTTTTGCAAGGATTTATAGGATTTTGGGCGATTTGGGGGTGATAATGCTCATGACTGTAGAGGATACGGGCTCTGCCAGAGCAGTTCGGGTTCGACTTGGCAATTGGGGCCTGTCCAATTTGGGAAATTTATGTGTGCAATTTGAAGCGCAAGCTCCGTTGTGCAAGCTTCAGGCTGGAGTGGGTCGTTTTTTTTGGGGTTTCGCGGCTTGGATCATCAGTCAGAACCGCTAAGGCTAAAGTCTAAAGGCGGCTGAAGCCATCTGCTCAGATTAGACTGAGGCAACATGAGCCACACTCCGAACCGTCGCATCAACGAGAATCTCTACTTCATCGCCGCCTGGAACGAGTGGAACGAGCAGGGTGTACCTTGGACTGGCATGTCAGATCCCTGAAATGCGACTCTACGTCTGAAGCCACAACCCTAACCTCAAAGCCGCAACGCAGTCGTAAACCCTAAGCAGAACAACCAGTGCGCTTTTGTGATATCGAGCTGCCCTTCTTTGAGGAGCTACTTCTGGAATGATAAACGTTCAGCCAAAACTTACGTAGGGAGGCCCATTGCCAGGTACTACTGATACCTTTCTGGACTTTGCATGTGGTCTTAACTTTACAAAACTCCAGGTTCGGTTCATGTTGCCTGGGGCAAGACGGGCGTATGTTCAGCAGAGCTTACGATGACCTGAAGCCCTATACTACGTATTCAGGCCCCTACGAGCCCGAAACCCATAAAACTTAACGCCCTTAACCCGAAGCCCAAAGCCGAAAGCCAGTAAACGCTGAAGCTCTAGCCCTTAAACCCAAACCCTAAATAAACCCTCAGCCCCTTAAACTGCTAAACCCTCAAAGCCCTAAACCTCCAAACGCCGCTAAACCCTCAACCCTCAACCTAGACCCTTAACGCTAACACCCCCCAAGCCCGCGGCCCTCAAGCGTAAACCCCCAAAGCCCCGACTGAGTCGACAGGCGGGTGAGCTTGCAAAAGGAACCCGTAAAGCAAGCGGCATTACTAGCTTCCTCTGTAGTGCCCTTTTGCCCTTTGTCTTTTAGGGTTCCCTTATTCGCACCGAACAGTAAGAAAAAGGCTGAAATTATCATAAAGGGGCTACTCAGGAATCTACTATAGGATTCAGGATTGAGGGTTTAAGGCCTTTAAAAGAAGCCTGAGCCCAAGGTGCTGGAGCCGGATCACCTCCACTCCTTCGCCTACCTGAAAGCCCTCCAGGAGTGTTCTTTAGCGCTGCTTGTATTCTTCTTCTACTTGTTCTAACTGCAATGAAGATGCTGATATTATAGTCACTGTTATTGTTATTTTGCTGGTGACGATCTTTGTTAGTTTGTTAGTTGCTGTTATCTGTATTGTTACAGGAGTGCAGACCCGGGGTCTTCAAGGGTTCTCTAAAGGTTTAGGGAGTTTAGGGAACGATACTGGTACCTCAAGTGGGCTGTGAGTGTACTATACGGGTACTATGAGGGTAGTATGTACAGGGGTTCCCAGAAGCAAGCGAATCAAGGGTACTACAAAACTTGCGAAGACCCATCAACTCCCAATCCGAACTCGAAACCCCAGGCACCTAAACCCTAAACCCTAACCCCTAAACCCGAAGCCCTAAACCCCAGGCACTGATCCCATAGCCCTCGACCCTGAACCCCCGAGTATGAACTTCGTGAACCCTACAGCATTACGGTTTATTCCGGGGGAGATGGGGGTTTCTGAGAATTAGGGGTACGTACCTGATTTTGGGGGTCCTGATAATAAGGATCCTACTATTTCGGGTTCTATAGTTCTATGTTATTAGGGTCCCCTATTTTCGGAAACTCCAATATTAGTTGTTCATGATAGCACATTCTCACAGCATGTATGCTTGCTCCATGGCTCTCAAATTCATGCCACGCTGTGGAGGATGCCGTCGAAACCATCCAAGCGGCTGACCCCATCAAGCGTGACAAGGAGAGCTCTCCGTGAGAGTTTGGAGTCTGCAATATCCATACTTATTAGTGACGAAATATACCATGCTTCCGGTAGTTCAGCAGGATGTGTCCATCAGCAGTTAAGAGGCTTAGGCTTGGTCTTTATGTGGCATCACGTCCATACAGGCCCTCCAGCGATCTAAACCCCGAGGATAGGAGGCTTCAAACATCATGTTTGATGATGTCAGATGGCGCAAGCAATGTTGAGACAACTGAACCCTGAACCCTTAATTAACCGTAATTCCTGTACAGTTAAGCCTTGAACTCCGCGACAAAGGTGCCGGGCGGTGCGGCTCCTCAACCCTTAAACCCTAGACCTAGCACCCGAACACCAGCGAAGCACTCTTCAGGAGGCCGAAAAGACGTCGCTGTTGGAGATGTCCGAGGCCACCCTTCATAGGGACCTTCGATGCTAATCCATGGTGTAGGGTTTAGGGTTTAGGGTCTAGTCGGTTTAGGGTTTAGGGTTGAGGGTTTAAGGGTTTAAGGGTTTAGGATTTAGGGTTGAGGGTTTAGGGGATAGTTAGTGGGGGTTTCTTCTACTTCCAAGTCCCTTTGCGGGTGTATAGGCTTTGAAAGTGTGGGGAGGTTGACGGAAGATTTGTCGTCAAGCCACCAGAATCGCAGAGGCACCAGGCAAGATGTGCGAATCCCAAACTTAGCCGCCAGCAGTGCCCAGAGAGGAGCCCAGAACCACTTAATGAAGCAAGAAACCTCCAGGAATATCGGGCTTTCTGTAGTGGTATGTGGGTGGTTGTCAAAATTATGGTCCCCTTTTGGGTACCCTAAATATTAGGTGCCGTATTATAATAAGGACCCAAAAAGGGACCCTAGTATTGACAACCACCCATGTAAATTCCTGAATCAGGGAGCAGTGGGTTCTCTGGGTATGAGACCCATACATACCGCTGGACAAGCCCGGCCTGCTCTTTTCTGAGCTCGCCCAGATGGGGCACTTTTCTTAAATTCCAAATCTCGGCGCCTACCTCAGGGTTTAGGGTTTAGGGGTTGAGGGGTTTAGGGTTTAGGGTAGCGCAAGTCCGGATTGTCAGCAATCTGCAGCCCCCAAAGCCCGAAGCCCAGAACCCCCTCCCAGAGCACCGAGTAGACGTTGAACCCTCGCTCGAATCCCGAAGCCCCCAAGGCTGAACCCGAAGCCCCCGAGGCTGAAAAAAAAGCCAACACTCCCTGAACCTTAGGCCCAGCACCCTTTAAGTTTCTGGGTGCAGGGTTTTTCCCCCACAAGCGGCTTGTCCCTGCGCTCACATTTGCAAGGAGCCACCACAGAGAGGGGTTGAGTTTGGACAGAGTTCAGAAACCCTTTAAAAGAAGCCGTAAACCCCTAACCCTAAACCCTAAACCCCTAAAGCCTAAAAGCCTTGTAGTCCTCAAAATCCCAAACCAGTGGATCTCGAGGCAGGACACCCTCGGGATGAGGATGCGGTCCACCTCCTTCAGGCAGCGTAGAGTAGAAGCCGGAGAGTTGGAACATCAATATCCTCATACCCTTAAGGTAGAGTATAGGGGATCCTAGCACCAGTCCTCCAACACCCATGTTCCAACTTTCTGGGTTCGTTGTACTGTAACAGTGGGATTTGGAGTATAATGTAGTATGATTACATGGAGATGGTCATCTCATCAGGTAGCTTGCTGTACTGGGGCTTTGGGATATTTTCTGCAAGACGTCTTTGAGATGACAAGGGAATATTCGCACCAGTTATTCAGCCCCCGACAGTCCCGAAACGGTGAAAGGGTTTAGGGAGATTCTAGGCTTTAGGGATGCAGGGTTCAGGCCCTAAGGTCAAGGGGTCTATATAAGCTGCAGGGTTTAGGGTGGCTTCATCTGTGTGTGGGACCAGCGGGTAAGCTTCAGGGATTCCGAGTGTAAAGGCTAAGGACAAGGATGCACGATTCAGGCTTGGGTCATGGGCAAGGATCGAGTGCCTTTTTTCATACGGTTGATGATATAAACCCTGCACCACCCACACTCAGGAATATACCATAATGCCTATAGTGTAGGGCCATTAAGGCAATGCAGGATTGATCTCATCAACCGTATTTCACGGGGCAAACTCAAGTATGCGCCGGGAAAGATTGAGATTGAGTGTCATGGACAGGTTTCTAAACTCCGAAGTGCGCAGCTTCGGTAGATCGACTGAGTTATAGCTTGGGTACTGCCCCCTCTCAGTAACAGGAGGAGAATACCCATAATATGGATATATTAGGACCTGTCTACTAGCCCCTATTATAGACGGTTACTGTATGGGAGCAGTACCCGAGTCATAGCAATTTCTTAAATTCTACGGCCGCATGCCAAGTAGCAGGGTGAGGTGTAGGTAATTCGAGACTGCCAGGCCCTACCGTAGGAGCGCCGGGGGTGATCACGTTCAGGGAATCTTAGCAGTAAGAAAAATAACAACTATACTTAGAATAAGTATTCTGGGTTCTTATGCTACTAGAAATGAGAATTGTTATAGTAACAGTTCGAAGTGTTTTTGTTTGAGGGTTCAGGGCTTCAGGTCACCCGAAGTCTAGGAAATTTCAGGGTTTGAGGATCCGAGCCCGAAGCGCCGAAATTCCTCCTTGGAGGGCCGGGGGACTTAGGACTTAGTAAGTAGGTAGTAAGTAGACTTATAAGTACCCTAAAAGGGACCCTAATTGGGGTTATGGTACTTATAAGTCCCTAGAATACCCAGTTACTAAGTCCCCCGACCCTCCAAGTGGTGAGTGTGTGTACATATGGGTGGTTGTCAATATCCTGGCCCCTTTCTGGGGATCCTTATTGTAGTACGGCACCTAATATTTAGGGTACCCAAGAAAGGGCCATAATTTTGACAATGGTAATCATAGCAATAGTCGTAGTAATACTGGTAGTAGTAACAGTATTGTTAATCGTAGTAAGAATAGCAGTAACAATAAACGAATGATAAGGATGATGATGATGATGATGATGATGATGATGATGATCATGAAACACATAATAGCAATAGTAAGAATAATGGTATAGTCATAACAACAACAAGACTAATATTAATATGAGTGATAATAACCATAGTTTCAAGAGTATATAACAACAGTAGTATAAATAGTAAAGAGAATAGCGATAGATCGATAAATCGGTAGATAGGTAGAGAGATAGATAGCAGTCTGAATCATTACGAGTCGTTTCCTCCTGTATTCCACGTATACTTCTACTGCACTGTAACTTGCGCAGAACCCTGTTCCAACTACTGAGGTCCCTTAAGCTCTCTGAAACGTGAGCCTCCCCTACCACACACTCAAGCATCCCAAGAGGGGTGTAGGGTTTCCGACTGTGGGGTGTAGGCATGAAAACACTAAAACCTTAACACCCTAAAGCTCTAAGAGTCTAAATCATCCGTCACCCCAAAATCCTGAAACCTGAAACCCTAAGCCCTCAAACCTCAAAGCAGCAATCCAAGACCCCAAGCCCTATGCCCTGATTATCCCCCATCCCTGAACCCTACTACATCCTTAAATGGGGGTTTCCGAAAATTAGGTTCTAAACACAAGGATCCAACTATTTAGAGAACTATATTAGGGTACCCTGTTTTCCCAAACTCCCAAACCCCAAGACCAGAACCCTGCCTTCTAGATTTTTCCTGTTTTATAGAGGCTGTAACGAAGCTGTGCAGGTGCGCCCCGACTTGGCGTGGGGATATGCCACAGGCCGGGGCTTAGGGTTTAGGGTTCAGGGTCCAGGGGTTTCGAGTCTGGGGGTGTGGGTCTAGGGTTCCCGTCCAACAAGATTGGTCTGCACGGAGGTTCTTTAGTCTTCCATTGAGGTTTATCATTTCGGGCTTGGGAGTCAGGCTTTCAAGGTTGTCTGTGTTGCCGTTGGTGGTTTGCTGTCTCGGATTTCGGAATTACTAAACCCTAAACCCATAAACCCTGGCTCGAATTTTCTTGAATTTGGTCGAAGATCGGATGCGATCACCGCGAGCTTTACAGTATTCCCTCAGCCCTCCGCAGTCAAATTCAACATCGTTGACAATACTATAGGAGCTTAAAATATAATTACCAGTACTATGTTGGGGCTCCTTATTATAATTAGAGTATGTTGGGCCACAAAACCCTATTCTAATTGAGGCCTCTATATTACGCAGTCCTTTCGGGTTCCCTGACATAACATACTGCAGAACCCCATTCCGACCAGCAACTTACCTTTGGTTAGTAGGGAATGGAAGAGTGGTAGTAATAGTAGTTATAATTCTACCCCATTCCTCCATTCCCTGCTAAGCAAAGGTAAGGCAAGGCCCCTGCATGACTCCGGGTGCAGGTCCGCATCGCTGGAATGAGACCGTGCACGATCGAATCCGCGCGATGGAGCGGCTTCGCGAGCAGCTTGCCCTGACACCCCAAACCGCCTTCGGTTAGGGAGGATGGCCGGAGTCGACATGACATGATGAAGACTGTAGGCTTGCAAAACTCACGGATATTGTGCGTTGTAGGGTTTCTATAATAATAAATACGACATAGTATGATATACAAAAAACGTTCCTCTGGTGGTTAAGGCCCCCACTCACAGGAATTTGCGCGGGTCATCGTATGTAGTTTTCTGAAAATTCTGGACTGCAATTGCAGTAGTGGTAGTACTGCTGGAAGGAGGACCTTGTCCGTGTGCATGAATCGCTAAGGGCTGGCATGCTGAGCTCGGGACCCTCCACGGATGCCAAGAACGTCACTTCGGACCTCAGTGGATCGCCCTACTACCGACGGGACGATGGCCGCAAGGGCCGTGGTCGCGACGACCGTGCGCGAGATGATCGCCGTGGACGCGATGATGGACGCAGCCGAGGGGATGATGATCGTCGAGGACGACGTGGCGGGCGAGATGATCGCCACATGGATGACTCTCACCGCGGTGACGACCGACGTGGCGGCCGAGGTGACGATCGTCGGGTGGACGACGACCGCCGTGGCGGCCGAGATGATCGTGGTGGCGATGATGGCAATCGCACTCGCGATGACGACCGCCGTGGAGGCCGAGATGATCGTCGGGGCGATGACGATCGCCGTGGAGGCCGAGATGATCGTCGCGGCGATGACGACCGACGTGGAGGCCGAGATGATCGTCGTGGTGGTGATGACCGCAGGGGTGGTAGCAGAGACGACGTCCGACGTGGTGACGACCGCCGTGGAGGCCGAGATGATCGTGGCGGAGATGATGGCAATCGCACTCGGGATGACGACCGACGTGGAGGCCGAGATGATCGTCGGGGCGATGACGACCGCCGTGGAGGCCGAGATGATGACGTGATGACGACCGACGTGGTGGTCGAGGTGATGACGACCGACGCGGTGGTCGAGGTGATGACGACCGACGTGGTGGTCGAGGTGATGACGACCGACGTGGTGGCCGAGGTGATGACGACCGACGTGGTGGTCGAGGTGATGACGACCGACGCGGTGGTCGAGGTGATGACGACCGACGTGGTGGTCGAGGTGATGACGACCGACGTGGTGGCCGAGGTGATGACGACCGACGTGGTGGTCGAGGTGATGACGACCGACGCGGTGGTCGAGGTGATGACCGACGTGGTGGTCGAGGTGACGATGACCGCCGAGGACGTGGAGATGATCGCCGGGGCGGTCGCGGAGATGATGACCGTCGACGGGATGACGATGGTCGTGGCGGAGGAAGAGATGATGACGGAAATGGTGGAGGCAACGGTGGCGGAGGCACCGGTGGCGGAGGCAACGGTGGCGGAGGCAACGGTGGCGGAGGAAACGGTGGCGGAGGAAGCGGTGGCGGAGGCAACGGTGGTGGAGGAAACGGTGGCGGAGGCAACGGTGGTGGAGGAAGTGGAGGGCGCGACGATGACGATGGCTCCAGGCCTGGAGATTGGGACTGGGAGTATGTTCCTATTTAGGCAGTTGGGATCTCTTCCCAGAATCTGGCTGCTAAGCAGTCAGCATTGCGAGCAACGCCAAAGATGCCAGTTTTCGGAGATGGGAGAACTTACTCATCTCATTAGCCAAAGGTTGCCTGCATCGCGTGCTGCAGTCGCTTAGAAAAAGCCTGCAGCGATCCCAGGCGTCATGTCATACACCACCACGCATGCATCAACTTGTCCTAGAAATGGAGATGGTCTGCATGTAGTTTGATTGTGAAGTATCCTTAGGGGTACTCGGAAATAGTCTTTAATTTTTGGTCATTATAATCCCTAAGAAACAGCTAAAATTGAAATGTGTGCTAGGGTTCTAAGTTCAGTATAGTGATTGTGAAGTATCTTGAGCTGGCATCTTGCAACATGGAGGACCAGAAAACCAGAACAATTGTTCCCACTGTTGCACTCGGCAGCAGTTGCAGCAGTTACATCGCCACCATCACCGCTGTCATCGCCGTCATCACAATCACCAGCATCACCCCAGACCCTACATCCTATACCCCCTCCTTTCTGCTGCCAGATATGCACTGCTGGTGGCTCCTGGAGATCATTGGGTGCACTGGCCGGATCGCAACCTGGCTCTTGGGGTTCTCGATCGGGGATTCTACTAGGGGTTCGAAATGGGGTTCTAAACGGATTTTTCTTGGGGTACTGGGTTGTTGAGTGATATCCTTTTTAGTCCTTCTGGGTTTCGATTATATATAGAAGAAACTCACCGCAAAAGTACACACATGTCCCAGTGTCTTACCACTGAACAGCCTGCAATGAGGGTTCTACTATTGCAAGGGTTTGCATAGGGTTTAGGGTTCTCAGGGGGTGCTATAAAGAGGTGGGGCTTGTGGTTTAGGGTTCGGGTTTTGGGGTTTAGAATTTCAGGAGAGCCCAATACCCGCTATTTAAGGAATAGAGATGAGATGCTTAAAAGTATAGGGGGGCTTCGATAGTCAAGCTGCCCCGCCTGGCGGATTCATTTGCGTTTTGCATCAAAACCCTCGCCATCAGCAGCACGATCACCAGCGAGCCGGCAAGCAAGACTAGCAACGACAAAAGCATGAACAAGTTTGCATCAGGAGCAATGACATTCATACCACCCGCCGCAACAACAAAGGCAATTCCACAACCACCATCAGCCGCATAAACCCTATACCCTCAACCCACCCTAAACCCTAAACCCGCCCTAAAAAAACCGTGGCAAGGTCGACGTGCGAGAGGCTGAGGTCTTGAGGTCAAGCATTGAGGCCGTTTTCCGGCATACATGGGAGTTTCCGAAAATGGGGGACCCTAGTATAGTATCCTAAATGGTAGGATCCCTGATGTAAGGACCCCAAATAAGGTACCCCCTATTTTCGGAAACTCCCACACGATGTCGCCTGACCTAATATGGGGGCCTTAATAATTAGAATAGTGTCATTTGGCCCATTATACTATACTTATAACTTATAACAATGAACCCCCAACATAGTCTTGGTATTTACCAGAGCCCCGATATATACATTTCATCGCTCTGCCTTGACAGCAAAGGTTTGCGCCCCTGAGCCCTGCGCCCGAAAGGTTCAAACGGACTTTGGGTCTCAAACCCAGCCCTGAACCCCCACATGTCCTGAAATCCTAAACCCTGAACAGCGAGCCTTTGAAATCTATAACAAAGCCCGAAAAACCTCACGCCTTAAGCCACATTCGCCTGAAAATCTTAAGCTTCAAAACCAAAGCTCTTGAGCCTTGAGGATGGTTTAACGTCATCTCAGAGCCTTACCAGGAAGCTTGGTGAAAGATGGTGTGGCTTCAGGTAAGGATTTGCTGCGCGTGACTTTCATAACGTGCGATGCCGACGACTCGTAAAGTCTTAATGTACTGCTACTGCAATGCTAGTAGAGCTGCTGCTGCTGCTGCTGCTGGCACACTACTACTACTACTACTACTACTACTACTACTACTACTACTACTACTACTACTACTACTACTACTACTACTAGTACTACTACTACTACTACTACTACTACTACTACTACTACTACTACTACTACTACTACTACTACTACTACTACTACTACTACTACTACTACTACTACTACTACTACTACTAAACTACTACTACTACTACTACTACTACTACTACTACTACTACTACTACTACTACTACTACTACTACTACTACTACTACTACTACTCCTAACTCCTACTCATACAGCTTCTGCTTCTGCTGCAGAAGAGTCCGACTGCTGCTGCTGCTACTGGCACTGAGGGTTTAGGGTTTAGGGTTACGGTGACTGCGACGAAGATGAATCCTAACAGCTACTACTGTTTTCAGACTGCTGCTGCTGCTGCTGCTCCTGCTGCTGCTGCTGCTGCTGCTGCTGCTGCTGCTGCTTTGACTACAAATGCAATGACAACAGGACACATGCAGCCATAGCTACAACGACGACCTCATCATCTGCTGTTGTCATTATCGTTGTTGCTATTCTCCAGCTCTGGTCCATGAGTGTTTCAGCTTTCAAGGCCCCCGCCATCCGACACGATTTCTCATACTCTCCTAAACTGTATCTACAACTCGGTGGGGTGTGGGAAACCCTAGAAAACTTCCTTTTTCTCCTTAGCCGAGGCCCGAGACAAGTACCGCAAGCTGATCCGCAAGCATGCATTGCACTTCAAGAAGCGCGGGGCGACGTGGATGCAAGCAAGTCTTGTGGGCTTCAGCATCACTCTAAATCCTAAACCCCACACCCTAATCCCTAAGCTCTACACCCTTAAACCAATCCAAACTTCCTGACAGGGTATTTTTTAATTTTTTTTACACTGTCACCGCTGGCTGGCCCTCCAGCGGGAGACCACCGTCGCCTCCTTCGACCTCACTCCGTCGGTTTCTCGCGCACGAGGTTCAGAGCCCAGGGTGTCTGACACCCCAAACCTGCAGCACCTGAACCCTGAACCCTCAAATCCCTAAACCCCTAAACCCCTCAACCCTAAACCCCTAAAGCACTAAACCCTAAACCCCTTAACCCCCTAAGCCCCGGAACCCGAGGTTTGGAATTCGGAACCCAGAGAGCCCAATACCCCTTAATGAAGGAATATAGTGTAAATCATAACATGAAGCCTTATATAACTTAAGCCATATTCCTTAAATCCCTTATAGAACCCCTATAGATCCCTTTAAGGAGCCTTTTAAGGAAGCCTAGGTATTCCTTAATTAAGGGGTATTGGGCTCTCTGGGAAAATTTCAGACAGAGGCTTCTGCATCTCGAAACCACCTGCAGCAGAGCATCTCGCGTAAGGGCTCACGGTTTAGGTTAGAAGCTGCCCCCACCCTGTAACAGTGACTATAAGGATTATATTAGGGCCCTATTGTATTCCTATTATACCACGATTACAGGGTGGGGGTTTTGTAAGGTTTTGGGTTTACGGTGAGTTCGGGGTCTTGGGGCCTCCGGGTGCCTCAACAGAGCATGAGCAAGGCGAGTCTATGTTTCCTTAGGACCAGGCCGCTGTGGACCCGGTAGAAGCTCTTTAAAAAATGCTGGTCGATCTCACCTCCTGTGATTTCCCGCAAGCCGCGTGGAAGGATCGTCTCTGCGCCGGAAGTGGTAGGATCCCCTGACCCGCTTACGCCGAGGCCCTATAGGATGGCCTAGAGTGCCTAGAGCGGGCTCTTTGGTGAGGGGTGAGGGTGTGGAGGTATAGACCCTAGACCCCAAACCCTAAGCCCTAACCCTCAAATCCTAACCTCTCAACCCTAAACCCCCCACATTTCGTTGAAGCTTACTTGGAGGTTCATGGGTAGCTTTAAGTAGGGTGATACGAAGGGTAACTAGACTTAAAACTCATATTAGGGGACTTATATCTATACTTAGAACTACCCTGAACCTCCAAGTAAACCCTAAACCCTAATCCCCAAGCCCTAAACCCTAAGCGCTAAGCCCTAAACCCTAAACCCTAAGCCCTAATCCCAAAACCCTGAGCACGGCATGGCAAGGTGAAGATCGCTACACCGCAAGACGTCTACTCAGGCGCGACCTGTTCCGGGTTTAGGGTTTAGGGTTTGCGCAACCTCTTCTCATAGGATGCCAAAACGGGTTTTAGCCTGTGGGGGTTTAGTGGGGGGTTAAGCCCCAAGAATCTTAACCCCCCCCCTCCCTTTTGGCCTCCCATCATCTTCGGGTTTGGGGTTAACGGTTCAGCGGTCAGGGGCTTTCGGGCTTCCTGACCCGTCACCTGACCCGCAATCCTACAGCGCTCCGAACTCAAGACCGCAAGAACTTAACTTGCCTGATTAGACATTTCTTCAAACATGGCTGCTGACCCTGCGACTTCTGCAGCAAGTTGAAGACGCTAAATTCTGTAAGACCATCATAGACGCGTAGAGTCCCTGAAGTATATCAACCCTTTCACCGTCAACACCACCAGGTTGGGCGAAGCGAAGCTGGGCAAGGTGGCACCCCGGCTCAGAGAAGCATATTTGTAGATAGTGCAGAAGCATGAAGAATTAAGTGCCAATACTATACTTCGGACTCCTATTAAAACGTTGGCACGGTGTACACCAAACTCTATCGTAATAGTAATTGCGGCCCTATCTAGTATAAATCCGGTCTTTCCGGGAGTCTTTGAAGAAGAAGAACCGCTCAACCCTGCATCCTCATCCCTAAATCCTAAACCGTGTGGAGGGAGTTGCTTTCGAACTCGGGAAGATCTGGGCGATAGGTGGGTGGAGCTTGGATACCGCTCCCGCTCAACGGGTTCAGGGTTTAAAGTTTAAATATAGCAACAGTTGACTAGAACGTGTAGTATAGATATACAAGGCCCTTAATCGTAGCCCTTTTACAGACTGTTACTGTATGGGGGCAGTATGCAAGGTTTAGCATCCGAAGCTGTAGCAATTTGTGGTAACGGATAGCGCAAGGTTCTGTCCATCAGCAGTAGGAATACGGAGCTGCAGCATGGTGCTTATAGGCGTTGGGCCTGTGAATACTGAGTGAAGATAGATTGGGACTAGGGATTCATGTAGGATGAATCCCCAGTCAGTCCTACACCACGTTACTACAATCGTAGTGATGTAGTGTACCCCCAGTCGAACCGGCGTTGAGAGCACTGACGAAGAGGAAGCCGCAGCACTGGTTTCACCGCGAGGACGAGGTGTAGTATCGATAGCCTAAATGCAATCCCCGCGGTCGTCCCCAAGACGATGCAGACACAGCGCGGCAGCAAGTAAAGGGCGATTTAGCATGATGACGTTCCGGGACTTTGGAGCAGTGGCTCACGCTTGTCCAGCACCCTCAAACCGACTCAAACCTGTACATTAAATCCCGGAGTAAAGCCGCAAGCATTTAGTTCCCAACAACCGAATCATCATCGTCCAGTGCCGGCACTACTTCCAGCATGTGCACCATCAGCCTCACCATCACCGCCAGCTTCAGCATCACCATCTACCAGCGAAAGCTTTGAGCAAGCCCTCAGCACCCTCATCATCTTGATCATCATCTTCCTACTCTATGTCGTCGTCATCAAACTAATCATAGTCTCCCTCTTGGTCCACGTACTCGTCGTTTTGGTCGTTGTCGTCGTCCTGATCTCCGTCACCATCATCATCATCATCATCATCAGTACCATCATCATCAGCATCATGATGGTGATGATCATGATGATAATGAACTTCTCCATCAACAGCATCATCAGTATCATCAGCACCATCAGCATCATCAGCATCATCAGCATCAGAGGAGTCATCACGTCATCAGCATCATCAGCATCAGCATCATCATCGACATCATCATCATGATGATGATGATGATCATCATCATCAACAACATCATCGCCATCATCATCTTCAGCAGCATCAGCACCATCAGCGTCATCTTCATCATCAGTGTCATCAATCATCGTTGTCAGCATCGTCGTCAGCATCGTCGCCATCAGCATCCGCAGCAACATCACGGCAACATCTGCAGCCGCATCAGTACCAGCGTCAAGATGACGTAGCCGTCGTCGTCATGACCCCTGCATCAGCATCGTTTTGAACACGTCGTCATCACCACATGGCGCCCTAACAAAGGGCCGACATAATTACCTATGCTGTGTTGGGAGCTCCTTCTTATGAAAAGTATAATGGGCCCCAAAAACCCCTTCCAATTATTAAGGTCCCTATGCTATGGCAACCTAACCTTTACCACGGTGCGACTGAGGAACAGTCCGCTGGACCGGTGGCTGCAGCATCGACGTGACCTGGATGCTTTATCAACCCAGCGGTGACTATATACATAAATATATACTACATATATACACACACACACATATATATATATATATGTATGTATGTATACACACTCGATGTATGTATACATATATATATATATGTATACAAATGTATCAAAGTATGCCAAATCAAAGGTCATCCAATATCGCGTACTGTCGGGACTGAATGTGCAGAAGTCTACGTAGGTCCGACCGTTCTGAAGTGCCGGCCGTTAGTATGTGGTTAAGGGTTTAGGGTTCAGGGGTTTAGGGTTTAGGGTGGTTACCCCAACTGGCAGGGTAGATGTAGTAGGTGGGCCGTGATGTTGAGTTCTCGACAGCAGGTCTTGCGCGGTCGCGCCTGGTATGCTGTGAATAGTGGAGGTATCAGCGCAAAATCCATGATGCTGCCATAAGACGGTCACCCCTTTTGATTACGATGTTGTTAAGGTTGGTGCTGTCGCTGTTGGATTGTTGTGATTGCAGCCGCTTCAACGGCTCGCATTGATGTTTGAATTTCTACCATAAGTGCTCTCGGTTTACGCGGTTCCTGTAGAACGCCACCATGAACGCTCCTCTTCGGCTTTTAACGGGAGTATTACTATCCTACCGTTGAATTTATTGCTTTTGCCTTTACCTCTCATGCGTGTTGCTGTAGCAGCACCCAGAGAGCCCAATACCCCTTAACTAAGGAATATGGCTTAAATCATAATATGAAGTCATAATATGAAGCCCGATATAATTTAAGCCATATTCCTTATAATTAAGGGGTATTGGGCTCTCCGGGCAATTGCTGTAGTAGCAGTTCCTGGAGCCAGGAAGATGCTCGAAGCGCGAAACTGAGTCAGCGAAAATCTCGAAGCATTTCCCTACCTGGGGATCCAAAAACCTACCGTTTTAAGGGTTCTACCCTGTAATCAAGAGGTCATAACCTACCATTTGGTGCGGTTTGGGGTCACAGGTAAACCCCCAAAACACTCAGCCCTAAACGCAAGCTGAAAGCAGCTCGCGGACAAAATCTATCAGTCGAAATTTGAAGCGGGCGCATGAAATCCCGAAAGCCCCAAACCCGAAACCCTCAGCTCCAAAACCATGGACCCACGAAACTCAACGCTCCAAAGGGCAAACCCCGAAACCGCACACCCTATACGTTTAAACGCCGAGTTTGAACCTCGACTCCAGTAACTTGGTTACTTACATAATCAGTAAGCCAATTTTTCAGCGTTTTAGGGTTTAGGGTTTAGGGACTTACTTACCTCAACCCCCGAAAGTAACTAAAAGAATGGCCCAATACCTATAAAAAGGCTATTATTGAAAAGCACCCTTTTTCAGGGGGGTTTAGAGTTTAGGGCCCTTTGGCAGTGTGAAGGTATACGGATGATTCCAATTTTGCTGCTTCTACAACATGACCCGGGCAAATCACAGACTGTACCTCGCAGAACTATTCCTCGTCTTGTTCAGATCTATCTGACCTCCAAACGCTCAACATCAAAGACTCTAAGCCCTACACCCTACGCTGCATCCCTAAATCCGAAACCGCCCTAGGATAAAAACGCAGCAAAAGCCTCCTGCTGAGGCGAAAACTACGACCCTGAGCTGCGACCCTGAGCTGAGGTGAACAGAGGCCTGATTCGCTTTGGGGGCGCGGAGGTTTTTCATTTGGGGTTCGGTTTGGGGGGTTGAGTTTTGAGGGTTCTGGGTTCTGGGTTTTGGGCTTACACGTGTTTAGGGGGTAATGGGTTTAGCCTCGAGGTCTACAGAGTCTAGGGCTTAGCATGGCTTTTCCAGGGTTTCTGGAGTTGTCAAAGGGTTGTACGAGGGTGTCTTTAAGGGTTTAGGGTTTAGGGCTCCCCTACCTGCATGCCCCAAACGCTCACCGCTCAAGGTGAGTCCCTTCTAAACTAGGTGGCCATTTGGGAAACTTGTTAATTTCCCTTATGGTTCCGAAAGAGGTACCTATTCATAAATACTTTTCAGGCCCCAAAACTACAACCCAGTAAAGCCTTTAGGGCTCACCCGTCCAGCAGCCGTGAAGCCCTTCTAAAAGCCTTTAAAGACCCGCTTAGACAGCTGTTTGAAGCCTTCTTGGCCCGTATACAAAGTTAACCACATCAGAAATGAAGCCATGAAGCTGTTCCAAAGCCGTTTAAAGACCCCGTTGGACAGCCGAATAAATCTTACTAGCCCGTTTCCAAGATGACCAAAGCACACTAGACTCCTGCTTCAAGTCATGTTAAGACCCTGGTTCAATCCTTTGAAGACCTCTCAAAAATCCAAAACCCGACAACCCAAGCCTTAAACCCTTAAACCCTTAAACCCCAAATCCCCAAACCCTCCACCCCTGAGCCCTAAGCCCCAAAACCCTAAACCCTAAACCCTAAATCCTAAACCCCCAAACCCTAAACCCTAAACACTAAATCCTAAACCCTAAACCCTAAACCCCAAAACCCTAAACCCTAAACCCCAAAACTCCCTAAACCCTTAACCCTATGCCCCAAACCCTAAATCCTAAACCCCAAACCCCAAACCCCAAAACCCTAAACCCCAAAACCACCCCAAGCTGAAACAAAGGCCATCCCTGGGCCGGCGTCGTCAACCCGAGGTCCCAACCCGTCGCGCGCGCGTGAAAAAGCACAGGGGACGTGCCGGGGTTTAAGGCTTTCAGGTTTAGGGTTTGGGGGTTTGGGGGTTTAGGGGCTTGGGTTTAGGGGTTTAGAGTTGTTTAGGGGTTTGGGGTTTAGGGTTTGGGGGTTTAGGGTTTAGGGTGGCATACAGCTTCGATAAAGGTTGCTATAAGGGTAAAGGTCTCTAGGAACGTCTTTTTCGAGGGTTCTTGTCAGGGCTGGTGTATGAGTTTCCCATAAGGGTAATACAGGTTTCTCACAACGTTTCTTGTAATTGTTTCTTGTCAAGGTTCTGAAATTCTTTCAAGCTTTCTATAAGGGTTCTTACCAATATTTCTTGCAAGGGCTCACGGGCGTAGGGTTTGCCCATGCTGAGAAAGGGCTTAAGGCTTGGGGGTTTAGGGTTGCAGAGTGGTCTGCTCAAGTGCTTGGAGCGTCACGGAGCGGTCCCTCGAAAGTCGTGAGCGGTATGAGTCCCTAAACCACAATCGTCCCTGCGTCACGGCTTTCTGCTTGTAGTATGTCCAAGGCTCGTAGCACCCCTGCAACCTCTCCCTCCCCAAGACCCCCACGAGCCCCTCGCTATCGGAGGTTCGGGGACTTAAGTCTCGTCACAAGGATCCCTACAACAAGATATGCCTGATTCTCAGAACCATCCCTGAACTCCTTAGCGCCTTGACAAGCAAAACCCGAAACCCAAAACCCTGAACTCTGAAACCCGAAAGCCCTGAAGCTGCAACGCTCCAAAATCCTACTATGGGGGCATTAATAATGACCTATACTATTCTAAAGGGTTCCTGATTCTACTTATAGTATCATGGGCCCCAAAACCCTGTTCTAACTAATTGTTAAGGCCCCCCCTACATTAATCCTATCCTTCCTCTGACGATGGTGGGAGCCAACGACCTTTTCGGGTACAAGCGGAAGCAGTCCAAGGAGGAGGCCATCGTTTCTTCTAAGAAACGAGGCGTCCTTTTTCAAGGGTTGCCGTAAGGCTCTAGGATACCCTCTGATAAGGGTGCCAGAAGGGTTCTCGATTTCATCATTATGGGTTTGGTGTTTAGGATTCAGGTAGGCTTTAGGTCGGTTCTCATGCCCTATCGTCATGTTCATCATTCCAGTTGTTGTTACCGTCGCCGATGATGATGATGATAATGATCATGGTGGTGATGATAACGACGACAATCAACGGGCAACTTTTGAAAGACACGGAGCCAGTTTTCCACACCCCATCCAAAATCGCGAGCCTTGGCCTGAAGACATGCGGCAAACCCGATATCCCAAAGAGCGCTGCATACCTAGCAGCGGTAGCAGCAGCAGTGGTAGTAGTAGTAGTAGTAGTAGTAGTAGTAGTAGTAGTAGTAGTAGTAGTAGTAGTAGTAGTAGTAGCAATAGCAGTCAGCTAGCACCAGCCGTAGTAGCATTCGTTGTCGTAGCCGTAGTAGTCAATGCCGTCGTCTTTGTCGTTTTAGTCGTGGTCGTAGACTTACGCGTTGTCCTCGTCGTCATCGTCGCCGTCGCGGTAGCAGTAGTAGAAGAAGTAGCAAGTAGTAGCAGTGGCAGTGGCAGTGGCACTAGCAGTAGCAGTAGCAGCAGCAGTAGCAGTGGCAGCAGTAACTTATTACAAGTAGAAGGAGCAGGCCCCGGAGGAGGAAGAGGAGGAGGAGTCGCGCGCAGCGGCAGCAGCAGTAGGGTGAGCACCTGCAGCAGCAGAAGCAGGAGTGGGTAGCGACGGGCAATCACGCTAACAAGACCACAGCGGGTAGGAATTGCAAGGCTCGATAGAGATCTTCCCAGCACAGACGAAAAAAACGCAGATCATCGCCGCAGGTGGAGCCTACTTTTGGCTACGAGGACTGGGTGTAGTGTGGGATCTAGCGTTCAGTGCCCACCCCCAAACTCTAGAAACCCTAAGCCCGAAACCGCTGAAGCCTAAGCTCCCAAAGCGCTAGGCCGTCTGGGATGAGAAGACAACCGCATCAGCGGCCCGAGTCCTTTTTTAGGGTGTTAGGGTTTCGGTTTAGGGTTTAGGGTTTTTGGTTCCCTGAGGCCTAAACTGCTAAATTGTGTAAGAACCTTACAGATACCATGTAAAGCTTCTATGCCAACTCTGCATCCCAGAACCCTGAATACCGAAACCCAGAACCCTTACGTAAGTGGCCCAGAACACCCATGTCAAGTCTGTACCAAAACCCTAAACCCTAAGCCCTTAATTCTCCATCGAGCCTAAACCCTGAACTCCCAGCCCTAAAACGTAAACCCCAAACCTAAAACCCACAGAAGGTACAGGGCCCCAGAGAGCCCAATACCACTTAATTAAGGAATATAGCTTAAATCATAATATAATATGACGCCCTATATAATTTAAGACATATTCCTTAATTAAGGGGTATTGGGCTCTGGGGCCAGCCGTAATAGCTTTTCTCCTGACCTGCGAGCAGGGAGGCAAAGCGTCTTGCAGAAAGAGCTTGCGAAACACTGCAAAGAGCACCATCAGCAATTCTGTGCCCAGAAGGTCCAAGGATACCACCGTTATGGAATTGGGTCCCAAAAGACCATCCATATGGGTTTTGGAGACCTGATTCCTTCATAGTATATAGTAGTAGTAGTTGTTGTTGTGGTAGTGGTAGTAGTAGTAGTAGTAGTAGTAGTAGTAGTAGTAGTAGTAGTAGTAGTAGTAGTCGTAGTAGTCGTAGTAGTTAGTAGTAGTAGTAGTAGTAGTAGTAGTAGTAGTAGTAGTAGTAGTAGTAGTAGTAGTAGTAGTAGTAGTAGTAGTAGTAGTAGTAGTAGTAGTAGTAGTAGTAGTAGTAGTAGTAGTAGTAGTAGTAGTAGTAGCGTAGTAGTAGCAGTAGTAGTAGTAGTAGTAGTAGTAGTAGTAGTAGTAATAGTAGTATATGGACCCTGTTGGTAAAGCCTCCTGCATGCCAGGACAGAGCGGAACTGCTCGATGACCTCCTCGAGGATGACACGTCTCCCGGCCCGTTTACCTAGCTTCTTATTGTTAGTACTACTGTGCTTACTACTATACTGTATTTGTTCTTACAGTTTGCAGTTTCTATCACTGCTACTACTGTGTTATAGTGCCGAGATTGCTGCGGGCAACTTGGTACCGGTCTTGCCATTGATATTCATTTATACCTTCGAAGACTTCGACTTGCACGTGCCAGCGTGCCACTGCTTCAAAGGCCAACCCTTTTATAGACCAACTCGGAAATCCCAGGACCCTGTGGCCATAGAAGCCAGTTGATGCCTTCCGACAGAACCAAGCATTCTCTGATACAGGGGCCTTAATTCTTAGTATAGGCTTTTGAGGCCCACTATAATACTGTACTTATAATACATAATAACACGAACCCCCCAAAATAGTACAGGTAGTTACTAAGGCCCCTATATTAGCGATTCTGCAGATTTCAAGTGCTGCTCTGGCCCTGGAAGACCAGAGCAGCACTTGAAATAAGAGCAGCTTGAGGACGAATATCTCGGGGCCTGAAGAATTACCTATACTATTTTGGGGGTTTCTTGTTATACTTACCGTATAATGGGCCCCAAAACCCTATTCTACTTATTAAGGCCCCTATATTACGAATCACATTTCTACAGGACAAAAGCCGCGCACCTAGTCGGCGATTCAAACCTTCGTCCTACCGCAGTGAAACAAATCGTGGGCACAGGAAAAAGGCATGTTTCAGCCAGATGTCTTTTCAAAAGCCCGAAACCAGCACCGTATTCCGAAAAGCGTTGGACTTCAGTTCCGGCGCGCTTTCTCAGGTCGTCCTTTCCATTGCTGGAGGCACCGCGCGAGGTCCTTGCTGCAATAGGCGTCTTTGCCAATTTATTCAGTGACAACGTCTAGTGTCAGGGATTACTTGCTCAGTCGTGGTGAAATCTTTCTTGCTACTACCATTAACAATTTCAGTTTTCTAGTATAGCTTTTGTTGCCAACATGATTTGTAGTATCGTCCTTGTTTCTCTTGTGAGTACTGT